TTCCAGACGACTTGGCTAGCGATGCTCCGGAAGGGGACCTACCGAGACCTTTAGCCTTCAACCCTCGTCGACTATCTTCTGCCCGTAGTGACGGCACATTGTGGAACTGCAGTTGATCTTGTGTGCGGCATGGGGACGATGACCGCCCAAGACTCGAAACAGGCGCGACGCTCAGAGTTGTTGTGGCGCTTCCCGGTTTAATTCTCCGACCTCAGCTCATCGCGCTCGATTGCTCTTTGGCCCCGGTCAAGCGAAAATCGTCGGTGTCAGCTCACTGCGTCAGATTAGATTTGGTCTTCCAGAATAGCTCGCCATTAGGTTGCGCAGATATTCCAAGACGTTCCTGGGTTGCCCCTCCTACTACCCAGCCAGAGATACAAATATAGATGGGACGACCAAAGCCACCTCACCGTTCGTCTAAGACAAACGATCCTTGGTAGCCAAGTGCACAGACTAGCGCCACGCTACAGGTCAGAGCGGCCTAGCTTCGCGGGAGCGATCTACAGGAACATCAGACAGCCGCTTTGCAGATTCTTCTGCTCAGCTCGACGAAAAGGCTGCCCATCTTGAGGGACGCCTGGATTCTCAGCATCATGGTGGCTGAAAAAGAGCCCCAGGCTTCACTTCCAAGATAACGACGAGTACTTACAAATTCATGACAATCTAGAAGCCACACCATATCCAGACTTGGCACAGAGAGCCGGGTCTAGGTGACACTCTGTTGAACAAACCCGCCTTCTCCTGGCTTATTCGGAGACTAATGCCAGATACTGTCGACGAGATGATCTCGGGCCTGCTTTGGGACGTCCACCAGCACACCAGGCAATGTTATCGCCACCCCTGTTGTCGGATGACCGTCCATCTCCCCGCAAACAAAAAGTTCAGCGGTGACAGGGAGACGCTGCCGCATCTGAGAGGCATGCAAGTAGCCGACGAAGGATGCGCCAATCAGGTCTTCAATATTCTCACTCGAATACAATGCAAGGCTTGACCGAATTGCCTCACTGGGACATTCGTCTTGGTGGCAGGCTTTCCAGTTCGTGCTGCTACATGGATTGTTCAAATGGCGGCAACCGGTGAGATCTCGGGGTCTCGAATCTACGCGCTGCATCGTTCCAGTCTGACGGTACCTTCGGAGATCTGCACAATCTGCATCTAATTCCATGAGGGACGCCTCAGCTTACACCGCATCATAGACTTGCTCAAAGTGGAGTACAACCTCCGAGCATCGCTCATGCAGGAGGCTGCACTAGACAGACGACAATGTGTGGAAACACCAAGAAACACGGGCCATGGGGGCGATCACTTATTTCCCTCCAGCATGACGTTCACAGCCATGCATCATGCTGTGCTGGTCGTCAAGAGTCAGTGAAGATAGGAAGCATGAACACCTCAACGTTCGTGGGCCTCATAATGTTGGTCTCTAATAGACCTTTGGAAATCTTGAGTCGTTTTGTCTCGGATTCTGGCCACCTCGGCGTGGCCGCGGATTTTCCCCATGAGGCTCTGCAGCATGAGTTGTGCAACGTCTTCGGACGACACAAGCAGTGGGATCGGTCGCCGACACATTGTTTGGGCCTTTGTTTGCCATGGACATCAGTGGTAAGGAATAATTTGTGTTCAGATGGACAAAGCTGAGAGAAACACGGCCGTTCCCGCAGACTCCACCAATCTCCAAACGTTGTTCTCACGGACCAGCAGCTTAATTGTACGTATGACGACAATGCTTCATCAGGTTTGCAGATTCTCATCGTGTGAGATGCAGCATAACTAACTCACACCCGGTAGAGTCTTTTCGACCTGATCAGTCCGTCTATATTGCAGAGCTGCATTGCGCATCTGCATGGAAGCTGCAATGGAACGTATGGCTGCAACGTTCACTTGGTTGAAATAAAGAGCTCTAGTCCCGACTTTGTTTTGTACTGCTAAACGACTCCTACATCTCGGCGGGTGTGGTCGCCGTCCGGGGCCACTCACACCTTACAAACTTCGGGTCCGACGCCAGAGGTATCCCCAGCCGCCTCACACGTCGCATGTATGTTGAATCAATGTCAAAATGGGGCGATGTTGTATTGTAGGACGATGACAAGCTGTTTCCCCTGCATCAAGCCAACCTATCGCAACTCCTCGGTCAATTCAGTGGGACAGTCAACAATCCGAAACAGGAGTCGTCACGGACGCCACATTGAAGCTCCTTACAATAGCATGTTCTCTTAGAAAACGCATCTTTCCACAAGAAGACCCGTCAATGTCGGCGTCTCCAGGATAGGTCTTAGGTTTGAACCAATATTCGCAACGGGCTGATCGAAACCCCGGACAAGAAACTCCGATTCTGGCTCAAAGGTGTGGCCGGGCTCATCGAGGGCGATGAGCCAGCTAATTTGGAGAGAAACGCAAGTCGAAGGAGTCCAAGGTCATAAGGGGAAAAAATGTAATGAACTCGAACAAGAAAGACTTATTCATGTAAGGATGCACATTGTACCCGTGGGTGGTGAAGTCTGACATATCGTGGAACAGCCTTGCATCTCACCTACCCGATGTTGACATGTCAAATTTCTCCAACGTAACAGGTCTTCGCTACCGCGCCAAGCTGATGCTTGGTAGAGCACAACACGGCGAAGTTCATGTGTCACCAACGAACGGACTCTAGCTCTTCGAGGCTTGACGTCCCTGTGCCGAAGGACATGCTGTTGCGTCTGACGACAAAGCCGTCCGCGCTCATGTCGATCACTCCTTCGATCGCGTGCCTGAGAAACACGGTCGAACCGCAAATTCATATCCTGGACCTTGGTGGCTTCAATCTCGGATATTTGCTGAAATATTGACTCGTCGTTACTCTCTGAGACGATATGGAAATGAGGAGATCCTGGAGTATTACACCATCCATAAGGATCGGTCATGTCGATGTGCTGTTGAGATCCCAATCTCGTCAATCGATGATACTTCTGTCCTCTGTGGGATCTTCGGAGTGAGCGCCCGGAGACGCAGAAAGAACCCGTCGCACAACTTCAGGCCAATGCTCGAGCCGCCGATCGACCACTAGGGGGCGTCACGACGCCATCTGAAGCCGTTTCCAAGATTGGTGGCTCTGGCGCCAACGAGCCGAATAGGCTTAGAAAACGCGAACGATTCGGGGTGGCCCTTTTTCAGTCACAGATCAAGATCTCACGGGATCCCTGTCATGGAGAAACTGGACGAAAATCGTGGCTCTTGGTGTGACACGAACTCAGGGGGACAATAAGCCACCACGAGACCAGGAAAATAGGTCTTGTCTGGTTCCTGCCGCTGATTCTTTCGGTGATGTGAACGCTTCGTCGACCACTTGCTAGAAATGCATGGGCATTTTTATGTCCCGTCAGCCTTACGGGAAGAAAGAAGCGTGACGGCACACTGCCCGATATTACGAGCAGACCATCCTGGTATGACCGTTAGTTGAGAAGGACCAGGATTGCATTTCGTACGTTACTTATTCCAACGTCCTCTTTTCCCTCAAAGATTGATCAACAGCCTGCTCTCAGCAAAGTACAGAACAGCCCCTTTCTCACTATGCATTCCTCACGTTCACACTTCCGCATCGGCATGTGAGCTTCTCCCCAGAAGAGCATAATCATATCTTCGAGTGCGCAACCATCGACTTTGCATTCAAGTCTCCGGCTACTCGGGTCGGTATACTTGTATCAACCTAACTGGTGCGGACAAAGCGCATATTTTACAGATCACCAGCTAACGAGTCAATCCTCGAAAGAGCTTCTCGACGGAAAACATTCAATGCTTGGATTGATGGGGAGCGTCCGGTATCGGATCGTGGCGTGATGTTTGGTGTTTGCTAACCCCATGCTTCTTCGACTTCTCCCCACAAACGGATAACGGTCACGAACCAACTCATCTCCAATGGCGCGCCAACTTTAGGCAGACAAGCTTGGCCTTAGAAGAATGGAATGAGATCAAGCGTTTGGTGCGCAGAGGTTGCCCGAAATGTCGATCACTTTCAATTCCGCGCAAAACATCGGGTTCCGCTGTGGATGCATTGGAGCCCCTACCCCCAAACAGCAAGACGAGACGACGAGGAAGGTTTTTAAGGCTTTCTAGACCCTGGCAAGCAAGTTTCTTGCGGGGGATCATCAGATCAGCTTGATTCGCCTGTTCAGCTGTTCCGCCTTCAATTGGACAGCTTTGGCGAGTCGACAAGGAGCTGGAGAGAGCCTGCCTTCAGCTGCAAGCCACAATATCCGTTTTAGGCCTAAGCCCATGATAGTGTCATTTTTGGGCACCGCTAGACTCCACCACACCGCTAATGCTAATATGGCAAAACGAACAACACGATATCTGAGTTGTCATCGCTCGAAGGGTGTTATTCGTCTTATTGATGGCATGGCTGTGAATACATGAGGTTCAAGTGAACATCTGGAGTGGTTTTGCTGAACGAAGGTGTCTTTGATGCTGCTGCTGCTTCATCTGATGGGCTGATATCGAGCTGGAGACGAGCTTGGAACGAGCAGCTCCCTTGCTTCAACTGAGCCAACATCACGAGTGGGAATGGTCTCGGAAATAAACGAACCTGGAATGATTGCGTGCCGGTCTGCCTTGCAAGGTTGTGAACTTCCGCGCTATCGCAGCCGTCTGTTCGTACCCGCAGCTCGCCAGGCGGAGTTTCCACATGGTCCAATCAATATACACCGACCTGGCACGAACAAGCAACCAAAGCTACAGCTGCTGGACCCTTGGTGTGTCTCTTCTCTGAGGCTCATTGGTGACAGGAACGCCATGGACATTCGTGTCCCCCGCAGGGCGCGAGCTTCGGCAACTTTTCCCATACAGCCCCGAGTTGGGCTGCCTGGAGGCTGGTTGTATGCGGGTGTGAGTGGGTGTCTCTGGCTCCCTTTTTCCCGCATGCTCTTTTTGAGGGTCCTTTTTATCTGTTCTTCCGCTCGCACCTCGTTCGGTTCTCTCCTTCTGTCATCTTCTCGTTGATACGCGATCCTGAGTTCAGAACCGACGACATGGGCAGATTTATTCGACTAGGAGCTCTTGCTTGCTTGTACCTGGGTGCGGAGTCCAAGGCATTGAGATGGCAAGATGATACCCCAAGCTGGTCTCCTCCTAAGCAGACCATTGCCGCCATGGACATGTTGGAGCTTGGTTTCAGTCCCGCACCGACGGCGGCGCCTGACCCGGGTAACGTTGAGCTCAAGCTGGCCAAGCGTGTAAGAGGGGACGACACTTGTGGTTACATCTCTGGAATATCCAGTAAGTCAGATTGAAGTTAGTCGTGTTTGAAGCATGCATCACTAACCTTTGTCAAGCCGATTCCATTTACTGCGATGTCGGAACATGCGTGATCAACAGCTTCTACTCTGTTGTGGGATGCTGCGGTTCGACCAGCATGTCGGACTGCAAGCTGCCGACTGCCTGTCTCCCATCAAGTTCATCCAGACTTTACAGCAGCGCAGATACTCTTATGCTGTACTGGTAAGTAGTTGCCAATTGCTCTAAGACGCCAAGAGCACTTGTCTGACAACCCCTTGCAACAGCTCTTCTTCAGGACGGCCAGAGTGCAATACATACGTCTACTCTGATTCCGTCTTTTCCAAGTACACTCTCTTCAACTGCGCCGTCACCGAGGCTCGGATCATTGTCTACGCAAACCCAACAGATACTACTGGCGACGCCACCACTGAAGCGACCACAGCCCCGACCTCTGATCGCACCACCGATGGTTTGTCCCCTATCACCAGCTCCGCCTCTCCGAGCGCGGCCACAACCTCCGCCGCATCAAGCGGCGGCGGCTCCTCCACCCCCATTGGTGCCATCGTCGGCGGCGTCGTCGGAGGTTTGGCAGTCATCGCTCTGATCGCCGTCGGCATCTTCTTCATCCTCCGCAGCAAGAAGAAGAATAACCAGAACAACAACCAGGCCGCCCCGGGCACGTATAACCCGCAACAACCCCCGCCAGGCCAACAGCCGCAGATGTACCAGACGGCCCCGACGCAGCAACAGCAGCCTTCTCCTGGCGGCTACGCGCCCGCGCCCACCACGCCCGGCAACTTCCCGTCCGGCTTCACGCCCGTTGATAACAGGCAGAGCATGCTGAAGCAGCCGTACGACGTCAGCGCAGCGAGCTACGATCACAACAATGGCATCAGCCCGCCCGCCAGCCCACCTCCCATGAGCCCGTCGCCGACGTACCAGTCCGGTATCCCGGCGTATGCGCAGCAGGGGAGCGGACCTAGTCCGACGCAGGGCGGATATCCCGCGCCACAGCAGCAGCAACAACAACAGCAGCAGCCGCCGCAACAGTTTTACAATGCGCCGCCGCCGGCCCAAACGCCGCCGCAGCAGCAGCAGCAGACATCGACTACATCCCAGACCCACTACCACCACAATAGCTTCGCTTCTGAGTTGCCTGCTACGAGGGGGGACAGCGAGTTGCGCGAGTTGGCTTGAGCCTTGTCGTCAGTGAGGCGAAATGGGGAAAAGTCGGTGTTTTGGATGCGGATGCGATGGATTCTAATGTTTGGAGTTGCTGGGACAGAATGAGATTTGACGGACGGGATATGAAATGGGAACCACTATCATTATTATGTGTAAATGTATACCCAAAGTCTCCTAGCACAGCTTGGATGGGACTTTTACCCTCTCTAATGCAATGCTGGATTGATCAACACACAATATGCTGGATTATGCTTGAGGTGAAGTACTTCATTTACAAACGGCTCTGTCTGTCCCTGCGCCAAGGGGTATTTGGATTGTCCTCCCGACCCGGAACGAGTTGGTCCACGGCCAGCGTGTTGAGGAAGCCTGGATGGACTTGGTCCAGGCTCGTGACACCGCACATTTTCATCGTCGTCTCCAACTCGTCTCGGAGTACTATTCGTCCCGTTAGTCAAGATCTTGGCACCACAATATCGAGGGAAAGACAACTTACTCTCGACGTATCGCTCAACGCCCTCAGCGCCGTAATTGAGCGCATATAACAAACCCCTCCCGACGCCGACGGCCTTGGCCCCGAGACACAACGCCTTGAAAATGTCGGTGCCGCGCGAGATGCCGCCATCGACGTAGACCTCGAGCTTGTCAAACACGTGCGGGCAGTTCTTCTGCAGCTCGAGCAGAACCATGACGGTCGCGGGCGACGTGTCGAGGCTGCGGCCGCCGTGGTTCGAGAGCACGATCGCCTCAACGCCCGCGGCGGCCGCGCGCTCGGCGTCCATCCACGTCTGGATCCCCTTGAGCACGATGGGCATGCCGGGCACGGTGCGCCGCAGCCAGGCGATGTCGGACCAGTTGACGGACGCGTCGATGTAGTCGCCCATGATGCGCCCGATTGCGCCGCCCTTGGCGTCGTTGCCGGCCTTGGCGCCCGAGATGGGGGACGAGCCGATGGAGGCGTCGGAGCGCACGCGCTCGTCGGCCTCGCGCTTGCCGGGGATGGGGGCGTCGATAGTCAGGAATAGGGCCTTGGCGCCCTGGGCCTGGGCGGAGCGGATGAGGCGCTCCGAGTTGGCGCGGTTCTTGTCGACGTAGAGCTGGAAGAAGACGGGGACGTCGTAGGGCTTCGGCGGGGAGAAGGCGGCGTGCGCGGCGAGGATCTCGGCGAGGGGGAAGGAGGCGCTGACGGAGACGCCCTGGGGGATGCCGGCGGCCTTGCAGCCGCGGCCGAGCTCCTTCTCGCCGTCCGGGTGGAAGAGGCGGGCCATGGCGGTGGGCGGGCAGAAGATGGGGGAGCGCATGGGGTTGGCGAGCATCGTGGTGGAGGTGTCCACGGCGGACACGTCGACAAGGACGCGGGGCCGGAGGCCGATGAGGGAGTAGGCGGAGGCGTTGAGGCGTTTGGTGTGCAGGTCTGTCGCGGCGGAGGAGACGAAGGCCCAGGCTTTCGGGGTGAAGGACGTCGAGGCGGCCTCTTCGAAGTCGTGGGCGCTGATGAGGGTGTCCAGTGGTGGTTTTGAGGGTGGTGGTGGTGCTGCTGCTGCTTTTTGCCCGTCTTGCCTCTCATCGTTGGGGGAGGTCATGTTGACCGGCTGGGCGTGCTGGGTCTGCTTCGGTTTGGGCATGGCTGCGCCCGGGGCGAGGACGCCTTTGAGGTGGGCGGCGGGCAGGGTCGACTTTACGAGGTTGGGCCCGTGGACTTCGGAGTAGACGTCCGTCGCGTCTTTGCCGGCGCACTGCAGGATCACGGCGATACCGCCGGGGTGTTCGCGGACGAAGTCGGAAAAGTCCCACACGTTGCCGTCGATGACGAGCCAGATGTCGTTGAGGGTGTTGTGCTTGGATATCTCGGCTGGTGTCAGCGTCGGCGGCATGGTGAAACGTGTAGTTGTTGACGTGAAGGTAGAAACATGTTTGTGACGGGCGATGATGATTACATATATGTATGCTCGACCTCGGGCCGGGACCGCTCAGGCGGTTCGTTCGTCTGAGATGCAACGGCGCCGAGGGGTAGTCGAGGTCTCGGGCGGCATTACGCCGAACGGGGTCAGTGTGGGGGACGATCCCCCCCGGGTATCCGGCATCGGGTAGGTAAGCTGGCAAGGTAGGGGTAAGGTATCCCGCGAGTTCTGATGGGCGGGTTCCCCAGGGGGAACTCACTCGCTAAAAGGATGCACGGACGGCAGCTGGCTGTCATGAATGTAAATCACCGAGACGGCATTGGACGTTCGTTTTTTCGGCTGCAGGGCCGCCAACAGCACTTTATCTTTATTTTTGATTCTCATCCCAGATCACCCCGCCAAGGCCTTCCCGATCAGACTCAGCGCCCTCTCGCTGTGGTTCATCTTGAGCGCGATCTGGCGGCCGGGCTCGCTCATCTTGGCCCACGTCTTTTGCAGGATGCCAATGATCTTGGCCTCGTCAATCTCCTCCTTGCTCTCGAAGTCGTCAAACTGGTCGTCGAGGAAGACCAGACAGGCGACGTCCTCGAGGACCTGCGTCTCCTCGTCCTTGCTCAGGTTCTCCTTGCGGATCAGCGCCGCCACGCGGTCGACGTCCTCGGCGGGCAGCGGCGGCTGGATCTCCGCGGACGAGGACAACAGCTCGGCCACCTGTGTCGCGGCCTGGGACTTGAGCTTGGCGCGCCAGGTGAGGTAGCCCGGGCGCGTCATTGGGTATGTGTTGCGGGGGATCTCCCATCTAGAAGGGTTGTGTGTGTGAGTTGCAGTGGTTCCTCTTTTTAGATTGTCCCTTGTCTCGTGTACTTTGCACATCTCGTCATGGATATTCATGCTTAAATCAATGCGTAATGAAGAAATGGAGAGTGTCTAACCTCCTGAAATGCTGGGCTCGGCAGGCCAGCTGCAGCACGGGGGGCGCCGCGGGACATCGCACCGCCAGCCAGCGCGTCATTTTGTGGGCATAGTGAAGCTCAAATGTGATATCGGCGGCGGCGGTCGAGGGTCTGGGGTCTTGCTTGTGGGCCTCGTCAATCAGCTCGAGAGCCTTAAGGTAGTTTGATGGCAGGTCGGGCAGTGCCATCTTGGGTGAGTGAGCAAGATGGTGTGGTTCACTGCTAATCGGGTATGGTTATTGGGTAGGTGCTGAGAGAGAGAGCGATGATGGTTCGTTTCAAACTTCAGTGTGAGAAGTCATGCTCCCTGACAAGGGCAAAAAAAAGGCTTCAAAGCCCGGCGGGTGATTGACTATCTGCAACCACTAATAGCGCAGCGCCCCAACCAACTGGAACCCACTCCGTTCCACGCGGGATGAGTAAGCTGGTTCCCTGATTGGGCTGCCGCCGGAGCATCGCCCGTAGCACCACCATTCTTCAGTGAGAGCCTCAAACCGCGCCCCGGACCTTGTCGTTAACATCAGATTGATATGAGCGTCGGGTTGCAAATGCCAGCGAATTCCCACTCAACATCACACTCCGCACGTCGCACAATTAACGCCTATTCTGGAGACTGCCAATATAATGTTGGACACAGCCATTTGGTTGACGCCATCGGCACGCTCCAGTCGCCGGTCTCGCCTGCTCTAGACTCTGGCAGACTTTATTGTACCGTGTGTGTGTTTGGTCCCTTCGTCCCATGTTGTTGTGTCTGACGCCAGCTATTGATGTTTGGCCCCTCTCACCCTCTTTTTTTCTGGTTCTCGATCGCCTCGACGGGTTTGACACTTTGGAGGTCTTAGAGGCCGTATTAATAGAATTGAGGGGCCACTTCCTGGTCTTGGTAGTCGCAGCCGGCTTCGAGTGGTTTGACGGGTTTCTCCCTCAGAATTCACTGCCACAGACGATTTGTTTTTCCGACACTTGCTCTGGACCACTCGTGCGGGTAGATATTTCTGGAGCCGAGTCCGGTTGGGAAGGAGCTCGTTTAGGATCCGTCGCAGTGAGAATCCGATTTTGCTGAACTCTCGGCCGCTCCTTCCTCAGCACCTTCGTCCATCTACTAATCAACCCCACCACCACCATCTCTCCACAACATTCACTTCCACCTCGACAACTACCACCTCCATCTTCACAACAACAAACAATAGATCGCATCAATTGTTTGGTATAAATTAGGGTTCACTCCCTTTCGATACACAACCCCAGTCCCAAAAATCGGACAACAAAAATTAACCAACCGCAAGTTCATCACCACCCCGCGCTTTCCGGCCTCAGCTCACTAACAATATCCTAGGCCTCCTATCCTTCACGAAGACATCAATCCACAACATTCCACTACTGCTTTTACCACCTCTTCGCCAAACCTTTCATCTTCTCCTCGCCCTGACTTTTCAGCAACATTCACCATCGCCCGTGCTACTGCAATCACATGTCACTGCTACAATGACGGGCACAAAGGCTGGTGGCTCTCACAGCCATAACCTTACTGTTGTCAAGGACAATGACGACGCTTCTTCAACCACAGCGGTGACAATCGAATCGGACTCTGATGCTAGCAGCACCATTACCCTGGTCGATCTTTTTCCCGACCTTGCCATCTTAGACAGCGACGCTGCCGGCGACACCTCTGCTGAGTCCACTGACGCTACGAGCTCTCAGGTCAGCAGCACCGGTGATGAGCAATCCACAGACGCAGACAACGAGGCCTGCGCCAAGAAGTCAGGCGATGCCAATTCCAGCAAGCAGAAGGGAAAAGCTGTCGAGGTTGAGAGCGAATCCGCAGAGACATCAGCTGCAGAGAGTACCAGTGGAAACGAATCGACATCTGAAGCGACATCATCTGAGGCAGGCACCGAAGAGGCAGCTGCAGCTGATTCCACAACCTCTGGCGAGGCTTCCTCCAGCGAAGTGGCTTCTACGGATGGAGCATCAGATGCCTCAACCAGCGCAAAGCCATCAACCCCAGGCAACTGGACAGACTCGGAGGACGCCTTGATCATCAGCATGAAGGAGGGCGGCGAGACCTGGGCAGCCATTGGAAATGCCATGAACCGAGGGAAGAACGAGGTCAAGAAGCGCTGGCACGTGGTGAAGGCCAACCGGGCCAATTCGACCGAGTCTGGAGGCGATACTCAGACCGACAAGAGCGCAGAGTCAACCGAGGAGAAGGAGCCTGGGCCTACGGCGGAGGAGAAGCAGAGTAAGGGAAAGGAGCTGCAGAATGTCGAAAGCACCAAGCCGAAGAACGCCAAAGATGATGCGACAGGCTGCAAGAAGAAGGGCAAGGAGCAGAAGGTTGCTTGCGACAAGGAGAAAATCAAGGAGCCCAAACAGAAGAAGCAGAAGAAGAAGCCCGTCGTAAAGGAGCCGGTTGCAGAGAAATCCGAGTCTGAAGATGACGACGCAGAGAGCTCGTCCTATCGCGAGCGCATGAATCTACTCCGAGACACGTCGTCTGAGTCCGAGTCGCCTGCTACCAGCGGCGATGACGCAGATGCGCCCGGCTACTACGAGCGGGAGGTTGCTCGCCAGGAGCGATATATTCGTCGACACGTCCACCCTCAACTCTACCCTGTTCCGCCTGCCGCCCGCGCGCCAAGCCCAGCAGACAAAAGGCAGCGCCGGGATGATGCCATCCTCGCGGCCGTGGCTTCGAGACGAGAGGCTACGAAGTGGCTGGAGATGCAGGCCAATTTCTTCAACGTCACTGGCCGTATGGTTCCCCTCCACCTGATCAAGGCGAGATGTGAGGCCGAGGAGGATCGAGGCAAGGCGGCTGGCGTCCGCACTTGGGCTTCTTCTGTCGCAGGAAGCCAGGACTTGCTCGATCCTGAGGAGCAGCCTGAGGTCCCCGAGGATGCTCTCCTGAGCGATGACGACTGACGACTGACTACATTAACACCCCCGCGCGACTGACACGACATTTCGCTTTCATACCTTCTCCTCCACTTATGAGACGATGATTGATGATGACAGCGTTTTTGATATCCGGTTGAGAGGCAATGGGAGGTAATTTTCGTGCAAGTTGTGAGGTGAAAGTCGGGCCAGAAAAGCGATGCTTATTTTAAAGATTGCTTGGGAACACAACGAAGCTGTTGGTTGGGCAAGAACGAACGAACGGGAAAACGGACGTGGGACGTGGGAACAGATTCACATAGATCTGCTTTTTTTCTTATTTGCTTTTATTTCTTCTCTTGGGGGCGTTTTGGCAGGCCCTTTTGTGTGTATGGGCAAGAACAAGGGTTTTTGAGAAAGGGATATTGGGTTCTGGTTTAATAGGAGTTACGGATAATCACGCCAAATGGAATACCCCCTTTAGTTTCTCTTGCAGCAAGACCAACAAATTGAAGTTGACATGAAGAGTTTGACTGTGAAGTGATGTGCTGTGAACAATTGAACTCTGATGGATGAAAGTTGGGTGACATAGGAACATTGTCACATTCAGCATGACAGGGCCATGTAGGGCTGAGGCATTGAAGAAATTGGGCAAGTTTCCAATTTTCCGGGGAGAAATGTACAATCCACCACCCATTGCGTAGGAACAGGGTATCATGGAACCAGATATTACAACAAGACACACAAACACCGCTGCCGCCATTGCGCGGACCGCGTCTCCCAAAACCCTCCTCCTTTTTCGGCTACTCTTGCCAGAGTCTGTCCAATATCCAACCAAGTATAAGTACAAGTGTATAGGAGCTTCGAGTATTACCAAGAGCTCGCAATGTTTATTATGTGCAGCCCTCCATCCTGCTGCTTTTGACAGTCAAATGTCTGGGATGGCTGGGACCAAGGCAATCTGCGACTGGCGGGTCATCTCGTCCCCAACACTCAGAGATGGTCAGCCCCATGACAATCTGCCATTTGGGACGCTGAAGCCCCGCCTCTCCTGGTCCGACGTCACGATGAGACGCAATACTCCCTGGCATCGGTGGCTGTATCGTCTCTTCGTCCTTGGCTTGCCGGAAAGCTTCGTCCAAGTGTCGTTGCCAGGGTCATCAACGTTCGTTTGAACATCGGATGGAGATTTTGTGAGGCCAACACTGCTGATGACCTCTCCGTCATTCAAGAAGAAAGTCCGCCATTGGTCATCTTTCAAATGGGGTTCTCCATGCCGGGGGCCATCGTGGTGCCCGGTGGTGCCGGGCTCGGGCTCGGCCCTTTGGTCAACGTGTTGTTGCTCGAACCCAGCCCGCGCTTCATCATCTTGCCCAAGACGGTGACCAGCTCACAAGCATCGGCAAACATGTCGTCATCCATACCTTCCGTCGCTTCGTACACTTCGGAGATGGTGTCCTTGGCCAGCTTGCGGCTTCCGTCATAGTCGTGAACGCAGTCGTACAGGAACGCAGAGTACTCCGTCTTGGCCGACAGTCGCAGCGAGTGCGAGCCCCAGAGATGCTCATCGGCCAGCGCAATGGCCTCCTTGAAGTACTTGTGAGCCTCAGGGAGGAAGTCTCGTGGCGGCTCGAGGAAGGCGGCCGGTAAATCCGACCCATTACGAGGAGCGAACCCCGGCGGAGGGTTTACCGGACCGCCCTCGAGAGCATGCGTCGGCTGTATGGAACCTTGCGACGAGTTCCAGTCCTCCCTGGCAATCCCCTTGCCTTTGTCCAGTCTGGGTGGTGTCAGGCCGGCCATTGTGTCGGGGGTCGAAATACCCATTGTCGAAACAGAGGGCTTGTTGTGGAACAGGACAAAAATGTGATAAAACGATGCTCGCAACTTGAGTGCCAAGACGCGAAGCTCAGTGTGATTACCGACCATGGGGATCACATATTGCTGAAGCATGACTAGACCTTCTCGCGAAAGCCATATTATGTGAAAAATGAGGTCGAGGGATTGAGGCGCGCGGGAAGGGTCAGGGCGGCGTTGCTTCTTTGCGACGACGAGCTGCTCTGCGAGGCTGAGTGAGAGACCGAGGATCTTGTAGAGCATAGACGACAGAAGAGGGTTGTCCGTCTCGACGGCCTTGGCCCATTTGCCGAGGAACTTCTGGTCAACCTCGGAAGAAGCCATCGAGGCTTTTGGGATTGATGAGGCGGTTGTTAGGTGGGTCGCGCCTGCCTTGCCTTATCAACGGTGAAGGTTCTCAGATGAGATACTGAAGCGAACACGTCAGGGATAACCAAGACGGGCTGACGGGGTC